GACAAGTATGGGGCCCCCTTTTTTCCCTTCCTCTGTGTGCATGCAATGTGACTGCTATATAATAGTGTAGATCGTAGGCATCTAGTCCGATCTGTAGGTGCGTAGGACTCTGATGTTTTTATAGGATTGGGATTTGTAGTTTTCAAAATGCATCAGTTATACTAAGTTATCCATACCATTACTTGTAAATGTTTCCCTTTTTTCTAGCATGGCAGAAAAGTAATTCTCTCTCCAGTGATTAATCAATTTCTTAACGTTTTATCCCCACGACAGATCCCAAAGCGAGAACTACCGGCTACAAACTAGACTGGAATCCGCACAAGCAGAACAAGAACGCCTTCAGGTCGAGATCGAGAAGACGCAAATCCTCTTCAATAAGATTAAAGACGAAAAGGTTAAGCTCCAAGAAGACTACGACCGCATTCAGGAGGCGTACGATCGGTCAAGTCTCCAGTGCATCCGGGCGAAGGAGGCGGAGGAGAAGCTGAAAGAGGAGATAGAGAGATTAAACGTGGACATAACGATCATCAAGGAGCGTTATGATAAGACGAGTGTTGAGCTCCGACGCGTGGGAAGCGAGAAGGAGAAATTACAAAATGACGTCGACCAACTGACGTTCGAATTAGAAAGAGCCCAAGCCCAGTATGGCAAGGCTCAGAACAGCCAGGAGAAGAACCAAGAGGAAATTGCTAGATTGCAGATAGAAGTAGAAAAATATAAAGACAAATACGAACGGAACACCATGGAGCTCTCTAAAGCCAGGAGCGAAAAGGAGAAGCTGCAACAGGAGTGCGAGAACGTCCAGGCAGAGATGGACCGCGTCTTGGTCAGGATGGGTAAATATCAGGACAACACCGAACGGACCAAAGAAGACTATGAGATGCTAAAGATCGAGATAGAGAGAGTGAAGGACAAGCTAGAGAAAACGCAGATGGACTTGGAGCGAGAAGCTAAGCTGCGAGAGAAGTACGAGACGGAGGTGACTAAGCTGAAGACTGACATGGACAAAGCAGACCAACAAAGAGGTAAATATCAGCTTGACTCAGAGAAGAACAAGCAGGACGTAGAGAAGTTCACAAGTGAGAACGAACGGTTACGGGAACGTTATGACGTGAGCCAGGTTGAACTGCAGAAAGCGAAGCTCCTGAATGAGAAATTGTCAGAAGAACTGGATGGTATGAAATCAGAGCTCGACAGAACACAATCCAGAGTAGGGAAGTACACGAGCAGCCAGGAGAAATACGAAGGAGAGCTTGAACGAGCGAACATCGAAGTGGAGAAGATGAAAGACAAATACGAAAGAGCCCAGATCGAATGTACAAAATCACAACAGAAGGTGGAGAAACTGGAGAGTGAGAACGAGAGGCTCAAGAGTGACCTTCAGATGAGCCAGAACCAACTCGAGCGTTTCCTCACGGCCCAAGACAGGAACAAGACCGAGGTTGAAAAGACCTCCATAGAGATAGAGAAATTAAAAGACAAACTAGACCGTGCTCAGGCTGACTTCACTCGTGCTCAGGCTGGACGGGAAAAGGCTGAGCTGGAAGTCCAACGACTGACGCACGAGATGGAGAGATCGCAACAGCACATGTCGAAATACCAAGAGAGCAATGAATCAGCCAAAATTGAGTTCGAGAGAATGTCTGTTGAACTCGAGAAGTTACACGAACGATTAGAAAAGTCTCAGACAGAACTCAGAAGAGCCAATGACACCAAAGAAAAATTAGAAATGGAGAACAAAAAATTCAAGAGAGATCTGGACGAAGCAAAGGGCATGGTGAACAAGGCCTCAGACTATCAGCAAAGATCCAACACAGATCTCGAAAAATGTAAAGAAGAGATCATACGTTTGAACAAGGAACTCGAGAGAGCTAAAGATGAGCTCAGTAAAGTCGGAACAGAAAAGGAGAGACTGAATACGACACAAGAGAAACGCGAGAAGATGATCAGCAAACTCGAGACGGACCTCAAGCAGCTACAGACTGAAAGAGACCAGCTTGTGAAACAGCTAGAGAAGTCCCAAGACATGCTCCTGAACTTCCAACAGGAGTTGAAGCAGTCAGAATCAGACTTACAGAAATTCAAGGACGAGAACAAGCGAATAAAATCAGAGCTGAGCAACACCACGAAAGAGATGGAACAAGGGGCCAAAGAAATGTTGGAAGGCAGAGAAAAGGAAATCCAAAGGCTGCAGGGGCAACTTTCAGCCAAAGAAAAGGAGTTCAATGCCTTGCGAGCCGAGGCGGAAAAGGAGGTGCAGCGACTTCAGCAGGAGGTCCAAAAGGCTCAGCAGGTGGCACAGGCCGCTCAGAAGGAGGCAGGGTTAATCCAGAAGGAGGCTGAGAAGGAGCTTAAGAACTTGATCATTCAGTTGCAAGGCAAAGAGAAGGAGCTGGGGGTCATGCGCAGCGAGGCAGAGAAAGGAAGACTGCGGGCTGAAAAGGCAGAGCGAGATGTTGCAGAGCTGAAAAAACAGGTAGAGGATCATGCTGTTAAGGGA